GCTCTTCCACACTTTAAAAAGGTCTTGTGCAGCATCTCAGTGTAAAGAAAACCATCCTCAAAACTGAACCAACAAGCACATCATGATTAAATGGAGAAAAGATTGAAGTTGTCAAAGATTTCATCCATCCATCGTCAATGTTCATGGAAGCAACAGTATTATTTTTTAATTATAGTTATTATTTACATTATTATAAATATTATAAAAATCAAATGATGTAGTGAATTGGGAAGTCTATAGAAAATGTTTCCTTTTAAGTGTTGAGAAGTAAAGATGTCAATTTGAGGTTGGAGGTACACCTGACCCAAGTCTTGGTATTTTCTATCACCTCATATTAATTTGAAAGGCAGGCTATGAATAAGAAGACTAAGGAAGAAGTTTGAATTGTAATGTTGGTGAAGATTATTAAATATGTCATGAATTGCCAAAAGAGTAAAAAAGAAAAATCTGTGGCAGAAAGTGCAGCCCAAATACTCCTTAGAAGCAAGGATGGTGAAACTTTGGACATGTTTATCAAGAGGGACCAGTCCTTAGAGAAAGATATTATGCTTGGTAAAGTCTAGGGTCAGTGAAAAAAAGGAAGCTCCTCAACAAGGTGGATTGACACTGTGGCTAAAACATATGAATGATTGTGAAGTTGATGGTGAAGATCTGGGCATTGTTTCATTTGGTTGTACATAGGATTGTTATTTGTTGCAACTGACTTAACGGCACCTAACAACAACACAGTCATTTATGATGATGAGATCAGGGTCTGTGTGATCATGGGAAAGATGGTGGAAAGAAGACATCACTGGCATAGGGAAATTCAAGGAAAAGAGAGACCAAGTATGATGTTAAATATGTGGTTCATGTGGATATTGAACTTACCAAAATATTAAGAGTAGGTAAACAACAGAAACTAGTGAGCCAGGTACTTATGGCATCAACTATTTGCCCAGTTAAGAATGTTGTTGTTGTTGTTATGTGCCGTTGAGTCGGTTCCGACCCATAGCGACCCTCTACAGTGTTTCCAAGGAGCAACTGGTGAACTTGAACCACCAACCTTGCAGTTCAAACCGACTGTACAGTCTAGCACATTAACCCACAACACCACACCTTATTTTGAATTTCCTTTAATATTTTGTAACTCCTTCTAAACATTTATTTTTACTCTTTGATATTTGTATACTTGGTCCCCCACACCCACACCTTCTTCTATATTAGGAAATGTACTCCAGCTTTCTTCCATCTCATATAGCACAAACCACACCAATTTTTAACACAATATTGCAATGAATTGTTGTTGAATGCCGTCAAGTCGATACCGACCCATAGTGACCCTGGATAGGATTTCCAAGGAGCAGCTGGTGAGGTTGAACTGCCAACCTTGCAGTTCAAACAGCTTTGCAGTCTGGTGCATTAACCCACAGTGCCACATGAGGACTCCACTATTGCAATGAATGTTGTTGTTGTTGTTGTTAAGTGCCGTTGAGTCGGTTCCGACCCATAGCGACCCTGTACAGGGTTTCCGAGGGTGTAAATCCTTACGGGAGTAGAAAGCCTCATCTTTCTCCCGCGGAGCGGCTGGTAGTTTCGAACCGCTGACCTTAAGGTTCGCAGCCCAATTCGTAACCACTATGCTACCAGAGCTCCTTATTGAATAAGAGAATTTAAATAGTGGCCTTGAGAGGCCTCTATGACTGAGGGTAGAGCCATTTAATTAAGGGCTAGTTTAGTTTTGAACTGCTAGAAGAACACAAATCAGTGGTTCATTTAAAGGGAAATGTATTAAAGAAATCATTTGTCAAACAAAGATATATAGAGACAATCAAAATTTATTTTCATAACAGATTTTTCAATTCTTAAATAGTACAAAAATAAACAGAAATTTATTTCAAAACTTCTTTTTGACATAAGTTAATTTAAATACACAGTTTCTGAGGCACCAAAACACTCACATATTGTTGTTAAGTGCCGTTGAGTCAGTTCCGACCCATAGTGACCCTGTATAGGGTTTCCAAGGAGTGGCTGGTGAGCTTGAACCACCAACCTTGTGGTTCAAAGCAATCCAGTGCATTAACCCACAGCACCACACCAGGACTCCATACATTCACATATAGATCCCCAACTCCCAGGTTCAGTCAGCAGGTTGATGTCAAAAAAACAAGCTTTCTTTTTCAAAGATCAGTGGAATTACAATTTTAAATTAACATTAACTATTTCTTTTTTAACATTAAACCTGTTAAACATAAAATCTTAAAAGAAAAATTCCCCTGAGTTATTTCTCTTCAATATTTATTTCATACTCTCCCATTTCCCGGAGACACACATTTTTATTTTTATTTTGTTATTTACAGAAACACTGATTTTTATCTATAATTAGTGCTTTGTTTAAAAATACTAAAACCCATAATACAGAATATTCCTTAAAATTATTGTTGAATGAATTAATGAAGTACCCATATATTCTTCAAAGATTGCATACAAGGTCAGTATTATGGCACATCCAGGCTCATGAGAACACAATGCTCTCTGTGGACTGGTGGACAGACAAAACTTAACGACAAGAAATCTATCTTTAATTATTTAATTATACTAGAATTAAGCCAAGGTATCATTTATTCACAAATCTTAATACAATAATTTCTCTTGATATTTTTACATAATTTAGAGAGGTATCTCAAAATAAAAACATTGATTTTGACACAACTGACAAAAAATCAACAATTGCAGGCTTACCCACATTTTACATTACATTCTAATAAAACATAAATAATCTTCAATAAATTAAGTAATATACAGTACCAGAAAATGTCATCTGACAATGAGATGTAGAAACAAAGAAAAATCATATTGCTGGCAACTAGTCAGGATTGTTATTATTATTATTCTTTAAACAAAAAAGGGGGTTCTTTAGATAAGGAATGTTCCTTCCTTCCTGTAAAGAACCCCTATAATTCTTTCTAAGACACTATGGTGCTGTGAGTTTACGTGCTGGACTGCAAAGTCAGTTTGAACTGCAAGATTTGAACAACTCACCAGCTGTTCCTTGGAAAGCCTATACAGGGTCAGAAATGATTCAATGGCACTTAACAACAACAACAAACCCTTTTTGGTTACAAACTCAAAAACCAAACCCATTGCCATTAAGTCCAATTCATAGAAACCCTATTATACAGCTTCAGAGACTGTAAATCTTTATGGGAAGAGAATGCCTCATCTTTCTCCCATAGAGCAGCTGGTGGGTTTTGAACTGCCGACCTTATGGTTAGCAGTTCAGTGCTTATCCTACAATGCCACAGATAATTATATTTAATTATAAGCAACATTCTCTTTCAGTTAAAGTAAGCTCATATTCTACTGTCTTTTGAAGAGCTATTTCCTTCTGTTGGTCGTCTTAACCAAACTAACTGCCTTTGAGTCTGTCCCTGTGTGTCAGAGTGGAATTGTACTTCATAGGGCTTTCAAGGGCTGATTTTTGGAAGTAGATTACCAGGTCTTTCTTCTGAGGTATCTCTGGGTAGACTTAAACTTCCAATGGAAAACCAGGGATTTCGTCTTCTAGCTGTTATTGTTAAATGTGGTAGAGTCAGTTCTGACTCATAGCCACCTTGTATAGGGTTTCTGAGGAGTTGCTGGTGGGTTCGAACTGCTGATCTTGAGGTTAGCTGTCCAGTACTTATCTTAAAACACCACACAGGGACACAAGAGGCATTAAATAGTAGTTCTGAGCTGAGGTTTCCCTGAAAACTTGTAAAAGTTTAGCTAAGGAAATACAGTAAAAAATTCAGGTAAGGAAATATAGTAAAAAGAAAGACTAACTTAAATCTTAAAATCAGGAAATCAAAATGGAAGAGGTAAAATGATCAGAATTGAGTTTTTCTTAGAAGATGGCTATGAGAAAATAAAAGGAGCAGCATTTAGGTCGTCAGGCTTGATTCAAATAAATGCATATAATTGGCTTAATTAAGACTGCAATGAATTGAAGTGTGAAATGAATTTAAGTATTTTTCACAGGTACTCTATAAGACCTATGCTACTTTATTTTTTGCATTATTGATTTTGCTAAGTAACACTGTAGAATAATAAATCTAAAAAAATAAAGTGTTACCCAAGTCCAGCTCAGTAACCGAGTAATCTCACAGCAAAATCTGTTGAGTGCCAGGCCTGCAGTACTCATTAATAGAATTCTCTCCTTCAAGAGTTGAGCTATAATTTGGTTCTCTTCTTTGTTATTGTTTATTTTTAAGAATCTTTTACTGCTTTAGATTTTGTTTATTGCTAATCATAGAGTCTCTAACATACATTGTTCTGATTTTCATTGAAGATTTGTCTACAGTGGCTCCACCATCTTAATACATTTGGCATTTCAATATTATTAAAAGGAAGTTGTAACAGCAAGATTAAGTAAATTTTCACTCCTAGTAAAAAAAATCAATATCTCTTATTCAATGTTTTATTCAATAATGTGCACTGATTTTCTAGATTTACATTTATGACAGCTCCTTCTATTGATAGAAGTACAAGTACTTTAGTACAGGAAATAAAATTAAAATTTTTTTCAATATTATTTTTAAATGACATGAAGTTATTGCTAATGTCTGATTTAGAAATTAATTTTAAAAAGCACCTGTACTTTTTTGTTTAATTGATAACAGATAAATGTCTAGAACTTCTTCAGTATTCCAAATGTTAGTTGCTTCCAATGCATCATGGAAAATATACTGGGTAAAAACTTACAACATTTTTCCATCTTGCTAACAACATTTATGCTAATGTCTTTTGTTTTTGTTCTGTTTTTGCTTTAGCTCTTATTACATCACAAATTGTCATGGAAAATAAAATACATCTTCAAAGTAGTAATACACAAAAATGTTTCCAAGTATGATCCCTTTCTCCACAACAGGAGTACTGATTTCTGTTACAGAAGATGTAACATGAAGAGTTTAATATAAATATTAAATAATTAAGTTAGAGGAAACAGTTCATATAAATAAATAAATACGATTTAAAGACTTCTATAATTCAGTAGACCGTTCTTTTAACAGTACTGCATGGTTGATATCACCTAGTCTGGAGTGGGAAGAACTTGCATTGATGATGACTGTTTTGGTGAGCTGTGGATCTGGAACACTGAATGCAGTATAAGGACAGCCTTTCACGTTATTGCAGATGAGAGACTGTATTGAGGCTGTGTTGAGGATTTTAAAACCTACTTCTCCACCAAAAGTGCTAGGCTTCCAGTAGTTAGGAGAACAGATAGGATTACCCATGAGTCCTTTCAAGGAGAACGGTGCTCCTAGTTCTACCATAGTCTCACCAAAAATGGCATCTGGACGAGGCTTTTCAACCAGAAGGGCAGGGTATAACTCCATAGCATCAATATCACCATACAGTGCCTCTAACTCTGCTGCCATTTCCTTCTCTCCTGTAAAGGTGACAAAGAGAGAGATTCAACCAATGTAGCATTAAAAACAAACAAACAAACAAAAAAACCCCTATTTCAATTTGCTTATTTGTTGTTTCAATTTGAACCCTGATTCTTTTAAGGAGGTTAAACCATTTCTCACCAGTAAGGTCTTCGAATGATGAATAGGGCCTCATCATAAAGCGTTTGCGATACTCATTAAGAGACTGGTATTTCATCTCTCTGCTCTGGTCAATAGAAGCCTGTGCTACTTTTTGTACTGCAGGTGCAACATTCCTGCCACCAGCAACCTGTGGAAGATGAATTAAATTGTAAAACAAAATTATTAGCTAAATGGAAGTTACAACTTCCTTTTAAAAGCATTCCTTAGTTACAAGGTAAGTAACACTGCTGTTCTTAGTGAGACCTCAACTAACTCTTCTGAAAAGATGCTTATAGACATTTAGTGAAAGCTATGCTTAAAATTCAATGGGACATCAATCTATACCCATTTTGTCTTTTAGAATTAAAAATCTGTAAGATATTTCATCACAATAGGATTATAGAAAGTTTTGAAAACGTCTTTTTAAAGGTATTTCTTGGCAAAAGTAGTCTAAAATTTTAGTCTAGACATTTAGAAACAAACGTTAGACCTATTTTAAGAAAAATATTTTATTAGAAAATGAATTACTCTTTTATTAAATTGAAAAATAATCAATTCTGTGACAGAAAATCTAAAGTTACTGACTAGTCTTTTGTTCTGTTTTTCAATAATAATGCTTACCCTGCCAGCAATTTGCCTGGTGAATGATTCAACAAAATGAGTAAGTCCATGCTCCACCAAAACAGAGTTGTTGTAGATAAATTGTTGATAGTTGTACTCCTGGTTATTAATTTGAAAGTTGTCAGGCAGAAGAGGATGCCAATGGTACAGTGTATTAAATTCAGCTGCAATACGGTTTTGGTACTGGAAATCTTGGTTGAAAAGCAGCTCTGGGTCAAATTTCAGTTTAAAGTAATAACCGCTCAAGTGTTGCACATAGTCTTCAATCACAATTTTAATAGTCTCTCCTATTTGCACAAAAACAATGAAGAATATTATTGTTTCTGATTAGAAACTTTCAAGCAACTATGAGACCAAATTTTATTAACTTGGTATTTCTTCACTTCTATTATTTATTGTTGTTGTTGTTGAGTGCTGTTGAGTCAGTTCCGACTCATAGCAATCCTGTACAGGGTTTCAAAGGATCAGCAGGTGGGTTTGAACTGCTGACCTTGTGGTTCACAGTCCAATGCTTCTCCTGTAGCACAACCCCAGAAGTCCATATTATTGCCTTGATAATGCCAAGATATTACCCATTACCCAACCACATTAAAAATGTGGTTATATGGACTCTTCTGAATGAATACTGGCATGCAACTTAACATTCACTACACTCCCCCAGAATTACTCAAACATTGCAAAGATAACAGAATCTTTTTTTCTGGCCAAGAGGGTTTTATTTAAATTATTTTCTCTTCTTACTTACCTATCAGTATTAGTCTGCTTGTCTGGAACAAACGCTCATCATCCCATTCTGGATGTTCTTGTTTAAGCACATCACATACTCTGTTATGTTCCCGAAGCCAAATTGTTGCATACATCATCAGACCAGGCACCAGACCAAAGACCTCTTGCCCCACAGCAAACTGAAGGTGCTCAGGGACATGAGGGGGGTAGATCATCTCTGCCTGAGTATCTTTGACTGTGGGAGGATACATCTCTCCATCAATGATCTAAAAAGTAACAGTGACAAAGTAAGCATTAATTTTAAAAGAGTTAGGAAAAAAAATTTTTTTTATGATTAAGGATTTTGAAATACAGAGCTGGGTGGTGAATCCAACTAATTCTTAATATTCAAATGGAACATACCTGATATTTCAGTTTTCCATCCTTGAAAAGACGTAGTTTATGTTGTCTGTCTAGAGTTTCACCATAAACATGATTTAAATCCACCTAGAAAATTATGGAAGTAAAAAAAAAATGTCTTACTGCTGGAGTTATTCTTTCAATTAACATTTTACAATAAACACACATTTAAATCATAACCTCAAAATACATCAATTTGCTTAGCCACTGAATCCACAAACTACATTTTGTGGTCAACTGCATTAATATCTTATATGGGACTTATGTTGTTGTTGTTATTAAGTGCTGTTGAATGAGTTTCAATTCATAATGACCCTGTATAGGGTTTCCAAAGAGTGACTGGTGGGCTTAAACTGCCAACCTTGTGCTTAGCAGTCCAGTACTTAGCCTATAGCCCTACATCCAAATATATCATATACTTCCATATAATTATATACAATATTTTAAGAGAAAGCCTTGGAAAACTTATTATGAATGCAATGCTATATTGAAGCTCTGTTATTGAAATCCAAGAGAAAATAATAATGCTATAAAAATCTTATTTTATAGTACTTATAAGTAGTATAATCTAAGTACTAAAATGTTTTTAAAGGCAGAATATTTTGCAGTGAAAAGTATTTTATCCTAAAATATAAAAGCCAAGTTATAAATAGTGAAAATAATAAGAATCTCCAATATGTATGTACATATGTCTAACCAGATAAGTGAATTAAAGTGGAAGACTCCATGAGGGTTTTATGTCGTTGTTAAATGCTGTCAAGTCAGTTCTGACTCATACCGACCTCGTATAGGTTTCCAAGGAGTGGGGGTGAGCCTGAACCACAGGCCTTGGTTAGGTTCAAACCTTCCTTGTCTACCTAAGTTTATCCTACAGAGCCTCTTAGGGAATTATTTTAAAAGAGGGTGTGACAAATAATAGTTTGTTTTTGCTTTTCCCTTAATGTTAGTACTTCATTTTGATATGCTATGATTCTAATTTGATTCTCTCTTACCCCATGGCCTAGTCCTTTGGTGAAAGCTGGTCCACGTTTATGATCTGTCTTGAAAAACTGATGGGTGAAGTGCTGGGCAAAGAATGCAAACATCATGTTTGTGCCCTGGGGATCAGGGATAAACTTTCTTCTCAGGAGAAATTTTTCCACAATCTCTTTTGAGTTTGGAAGCTCTTTCTTCCCTGAAAGATGAGCAAGTTATGGTAAAAATTCATATACGCAGGGAAGCAAACAGTGATTTGTCAATTTCCCAGAGCACTCTACTTAGAGTAAATTGTAAACACGATTGTAATATAAAACAACTCTATGATATGGAGGAACAATATATTATTGAATTATTTTTCTACATAACTAGTATTCATTGAATTTTAATTAAATAATTTAAAAGTATTAAAACATTATACCCAAATGCTCATTTGCACTATCGTGAAATAGTTTACATGGATTCACAGTTTTAAAAATAAATCTCTTCATAGATATTCACAGTAAAGGAAAAATATACTAATCTAAAATAGAATTTTTAAGACTTTAGTTCACATCCCAGTGCAATGAAATCATGTGCTTGCTGTAACTTACCTTTTACCCCCACAGGAGTGGGGCAGTCATGAGGGACAGGAGGAAGGGCTCTGGTATAATAGGAGAGGTTAGAATAGGCTTCCCAGCTTTTGTAGCCATAGTGAACATTATAAGTTGGTGGACTCTCAATCAAATGTGATCTTGCTGAAATATTCAAGAAAAAAAAAAAATTCCCATATTATAAGGGAAGTGACACAAAAGACTGAATTCAAGTTCAGTGATCAAAACTATATTTTAAAACTATACTTTCAAGTCAAATTGCCATTTAAAATAAAAAAAGAGAAAAGAATGATTCATTGTAATGCATCTTTAATAATACATAAGGAGCTCTGTTAGTGTAGTGGTCAGGAGTCGGACTGCTAACCTCAAGAACAGCAGTTCGAAACTACCAGACCATTCCATGGGAGAAAGATGTGGCTTTATGCATCTGTAAAGATTTACAGCCTCAGAAACCCTATGCAGGGTTGCTATGAGTCCGAATAGTCTCCATGGCACATAACCACCACCACCACCACCATATACTTTACATTGTAATCTTGCAATCAAGCTATTTTGATTTTTCAGACAACCACCCACCTAAGTTGTAAATAATAGGAATGGTTGGCATGGTATTCGCTTTACAGTTCTAGAAAGGTGTGTGTTTGTTTATTTATCCAAATAAAAATCAGCCATTAAAAAAAATGGTTGCTACACATTCAGAACAGTTCTGTGGCTTACTACCACTTAAGAAACAACTGGATCCTAATTATTTTTCAAATTGGCAGGGATGGTGGTAAAAGAGAAAAGAGGTGCCATGAGTAGAATATGACTTGGAAACAGAACAATTCAAACAGGGTAAGACTCATGTTTATATGGTTTTTCGGCCATTAACATGAAGCCATACATAACAGGTATATTGAAAGTCATTTTGTCACAGTTGGAAATGCATTTTGGGATTAAGTTTAGTAATCTACAATAAATATAAAGGACACTTTTCTTCTAGGAAGCTGAAAATCTCAGAAACAGATTAATACTTACAAGTCAATACATATCTCATAATGGCATTTCGCAGAAAGGGAATGTTATTAACAATGTTCCAAACTCCCTTGAAGTGGGTAAGAATGTAGTGCACTGTGTTTGGATTAGGTTTCAGTAATAATTTTATTCTTGTGAGAAATTCAGCTGCAAAAAGGAAAAAAAAAGGAGGGAAAAATTAACATAACTCATTATTAAGAAAAAAAAAGTCTGTAAAATAATCATTAACAGGGCTCCATCAAATAAGGGAACCCAAGGATAAACTTACGTGTTGAACAGTTTTCACCATAAAATCCTGTCCGGGTGCAATCACATTTATACTGGTCAAATCCTGTGGTCATACATACACCTCGGTTTTGACATGGGTTGGAACAGCAAGGATTAGCTACAATAAAGTAACAACATAACATCAATTCTTCAGGGTCTTTATATTCACTTCAACGTTGAAAAGTTTTACTTACCATGCGTCAATTTTCCAATAATAAAGAACTGTACAGGAGGTCACGGGAAAACAATTAAAAACAAACAAATCTGCCTCTCAGAAGGATTATAAATTACAAAGGCCTATTTCCTATCCTAAGAGTGATAGATAGCACATTCAACCTGAGAACAGAAATCACTAAGCCTTTTTCTTAGAAACTGTTTAGGTCTCTAAATTGGCATTTATAGGAAGCTACAAATATGTAGCAGTTTCGAAGTTAGAATGGATGGATTAGTATAAAAAAATTAGGACAATTTTCAAGATAAATATTTAAAAATATTTTTTGTATCTTAAAATACAATCATCTGGACTTTCCTGGGGCAAATAAACACTATCATATTTCAAAATTATTCCCATTCAATTACAATAGGTCGCAACATACACAAGTATTTCATATATATATGAATCGTGTATCATGACAATCGCCTCTTATTTAGCAGAGGAGAAAAACTTTACAGAGACGGGTTAAAAAACTGGTCCATGATGACCAGAACTGAAGGCAGAGCTGGGATAGGCACCCAGACGCCTTACATACTCAGCTGTGTCTAGCTTTGTACAACGTTAGTATTCAGATGGGAGTGTTCAGCACTTAGCGGGAAGGACCAGGGAGTCAGAGTGGAATCTCTGTGCCGGAGTAGGCACTCACCTGCGTAGCTGAGCGCCAGGGCCGCACAAAGCAGCAGGACGCGGACGAGCATCTCGGAGGCGGCCGCGGCGGCGAAGTGGAGGGTAGGCGGAGATGTCTAAGTCTGGACTCGGAGCTGCAGAGCTGGAAGAGGCGCTATTGAGGAGTTCCTGGGCGTACCCCTGACGCTCGCCTAAGTCCTTTGACAACTGTAAGCTAACGGAGAGGAACTTCCCTTTTATGCGTGGATTCTTGGACCACGTGACAAAGTGACTGTTTCTTTCCGCCGCTCTTACCTCCTGCAACTTCTTTTCATTCGTAGTTGCGCAAGGCCCGAGTGGAAACAGAACTTTTAACTACTCAAATGAGAAAATCAGGGAGGCTGTCCTCGGCTGCCTCACGGTGGACATAAAGCGGATTGTTCCTCCCCTTTCGGATCTCCCTTTCCCCCTTCTCTGACCTTCCACCCCAGTATCCGGGTTTGCGCCAGATTATTTTTCCTTCCTTCCAGTCTGGAACGGAGAGCGTCCAGAATCAGCGCAGACAGATCCTTTCGGGACAGCAGCGGGGTCAGGGTGGGGGCGCTCGGCTTCCTCTCCCGGAACCAGAACAGCAGCAGGTTGGAGAGCACAGGGAATCCCCTCGCGTGTCACTGCCCTCTCCTCTCGGTCCCTGGGTCTTTGGGGCGTAGTGTTGGGGATGGAAATTGGGGGAGAAGGAAGTCATTGTGGGGACAGATTGGAGTGAGTAAGGCTAAAAAAGGCTGACGTGTTAAATATTACATGTTTGATTTGGCGACGATGCTCTACACATATATGGGTACTTTTCCTTCCCACGCTTGAATTTGCTGTTCTAATCCACCAGCCGCTCCCCGACTGGACGGCACTTAAACAACAACATAATGTATGCATCTTAACATTTTTCTTAGCTTTTTTTGTTTTTTATTTTAAAAGTTGTTCCCCATCACCACCTGAGGAGAGAGTGAGCTACATTTTTTAAAAAAGTTCTATTCTCCTCAAAAATACTGCTTCTAAGCGGTTAACCCTATTAATTAGCTGGAGTTTTCACTAGTGTATTTGCTACCGGGTGGCACTAGATAAGCAGATAAGCACTGGACCTCAAGGTCAGAATGAAATCACCAGCTGCTTCTCAGAAGCCTTATACATAGTCTAGTCCATGTGAGTGGGAACCACAGTGAGGGCGCTTGACAACAACAGAGAACATGGGAAGTTGGGGTGCCTAGGATTTGCATGGATGCCAAAAGTATAAAACATCTCCTATAGTGTCTTTCTCTGATGCTTTCTTGCCCCCACTTTGATCACCAGCCCATCACAGAAGATATCAGTAAAACAATTCAAATTTTAAAGTTAGCTTTGTCTTTTTTCCCACTCTTCCAAGATAATGAGTGGCGACAGTGGATCAAAGTACAACGTTGGATATACTTTTCACTTGTCTGGATTTATTACAGCTAATTTTCTATTCTCATTTTGCAACGTAGTTTGGGTGTAAAATAGGGAATTGAGTGTCAGGTAGGGATGGTTTTTCATAGATTTGAAATTCATCTTATTTTATTTTTATTTAATATCTACCAAGTGGTAGTGATTGGGGAGGGATGGGTAAAGGTGAAACCTTAGTTTTTTAAAAAAAGCTACAAATGGAAAAGAAAAAGTTCAAGTAAGTTAAATTCTAAGCTACAACATGGAATTTTTTTAATCCTTTTGTTTAATGTACACACAATCTGATTTTACATGAGACACAGATGAGTCAAATTCATCTCATCCAGGAATTCTTTCTTGTACTATCATCGTATTTAATCAGTGCATTTGTCACTCCCATTTATTTTACGGAATCTTACATAAAATTTCAACAGAGAACAGAGATCATTCCATTTTTCTTTTAATAATTCTGTTTTATTTTAAGTGAGTTATAGCTATTCAAGTTCTAAATTAATACTTAGAGCTATTGATTTTGGCTTTGCTTAGATACCACATGAGAATCTATACTCTGATAGTGTCTTAAAATTCTATGTAATAACCCTGAGTTCATTTTGAAGTTGCCATTATCTACCTCATGAGACTTTAATTATGTATATACAATATATAGAATGGCATTCTGTTCAATGTTCAAAGTTTCTGAACTCAAAGGACAGAACATAGGGAATCATAAAATTCATACTAAAACCTTAGAGAAATTAAAATGGGTCTCCTGGTAAAAGTTCAAAAAACATCCCTGATTCAACTAAAAGAATCTTTAAAAGCTTTTTGCTGAGTATAATTGCTCCCTTCTGCTGCTTGGTTTTTGAACAAATGGGATTTTAAAAAATTTTTATTTTTATTTTTTAAGATTATTTGAAAAGCATCTCTAGACAGATTTTATTGTCTGGTATAAATACAATATTCCTAAGACTTCATATGTATAGTGTTTTGATGTAACTTTCATGAATACAGTAAAAGGAATGAGCAATTTATTCATTGAAATGATTAGCTGTTCATGTAAATTAGAGGAAATGAACAATAATGACTCTTGCTATTCAAAATTCTAAACGAGCTTACATTTATAAGAAAACCTGTTCTTACTCCTCAAACATAGAGGAATGTTTACACATTCATAATCTCAGGTATTTCCCTCCCTTTACTTTGGTTGATTTATTAATTCACTTAGAATCTAAGGATGAATCCCAAAAATTCATGACAGGTTGGCTGGAAAAAAAAGCTTTGCCATCTTGCCTCATGTTTGTTCTTAAGAGGAGTTTTAGTATTTTTTAGTCACAGATTGTATTTGTTCCTCAGAAGATACAAATGCTACTTATAAAAGACCTCTAGTTCAGTCTTTTAATAAAAACTGAGTATGCAAGATAAGAGTTTTGAAGAGCTCTGGTAGCATAGTGGTTATGAATCGAGCTGCGAACCTTAATGTCAGCAGTTTGAAATGACCAGCTGTTCTGCGGGAGAAAGATGAGGCATTCTGCTCCCGTAAAGATATATAGCCTCGGAAACCCTGTACAGGGATGCTATGAGTTTGAACCGACTCCATGGCACATAACCAATTAAAACAAGCATTGAATCATTTCAGACTCAAAGTAACCCTAGAGGACAAAGTAGATCTGCCCTCTATCATTTCCAAGGATGTAAATCTTTAAGGAAAATGACTACTTTCTTTCTCTCATGGAGTAACAGGTGGGTTCAAATCACTGGCCTTTTAGTTAGCAGTCAAACGCTTATCCCCTGAGCCACTAACTAACACTCCAGGGACTGGTCCCTCCTGACAATATGTCCGAAGTATGAGAGATGAAATCTGGCCATTCTGGCTGCACTTCTTCCAACACAGATCTGTTGGTTCTTTTGGCAGCCCATAGTACTTTCAATATTCTCCTCCAACACCATAACTCAAATGCATCAATTTTTCTACGATCTTCCTTATTCACTGTCCAACTTTTTCATGTGTATGAGGTTATTGAAAATACTATGGCTTGAGTCAGGTGTACCTTAGTCCTCAAGATGACATCTTTGCTCCTCAACACTTTCAAAAGGTCTTGTGCAGCAGATTTGCCTAATGCAATACGTCGTTTGATTTCTTGACTGCTGCTTCCATGAGTGTTGATGGTTGATCCAAGAAAAATGAAGTCTTTGTCACCAATAAAATATCAAGCTCAATTAGAAAAGCCAGAAAAGACTATCAAAATTCTACTCTATAAACTCCTGAGGTATCCTGAGCTGCATCATTATGTGCAATTGAAATTGAATTTCTCATAAGATTACAATGGGATGAAAAAACAATTTTTTTCTGAAAAAGTTATGAAAGTAATGTTGCCTAGAAAAGTTGTTTTCATGTAAGACAGAGTCATCTCTTTATTCAATCAATTGATAATAAGCAAATCCAAAGTATCCTTACCAAGAGGAAGGGAAGATTTCACAGAAATATCAACTATACTCACTGAAACCATACCTCATTCAGGAAAGGTGCTTTGTTGTTAGCTGCTTTAAAATTGGCAGCCCCTGAATCATGGAATGAAACATTTCCCAGTCTTATGCCTTTCCGTAATCACTTGGCAATCAAACTATTATGAGGCCTGATTTTTTAGAAGTAAATCACCAGGTCTTTCTTGCTATTCTGTCTTAGCTTAGAAGTGCCAATGAAATCTGTTCAGCATCATGTTGTTGTTGTGTGTAATCTATTTGGTTCTGACACATGGTAACCCTGTATAGGGTTTCCTAGGGTGGTTGGTGGGTTTGAATGACCAAACTTGTGGTTACTAATTCAGTGCTTAACCTACAGTGCCACACCAGGGTTCAAAATGTACAGACAGGTGATGACTGCACATAAGGTGCATTGGTCGGAAATCAAACAGGGTCTCTAGTATGGAAGGCAAGAATTCTACCATTGAACTGCCTCAACAGGAACACTTACTTGTTAAGTGCTGTCTATTTGATTCCAACTCATTGTGACCCACATAGGGTCATAGTAGGGTCAGCTGATAGATTGGAATCACCAACCTTGAGGATAACAGTAAAGTGCTTATCCTATAATGCCACACCAGGATTCCAACAGGGACACTACAACATGCAAAATCCTTCATGATACCTCACACTGTTCTAAAAGAAAATAATGAGAGAATATAAGAAATTATTCAAAAATTTTATAACCTTTAAACATGAACCTGAGCCCATAAATCAGGGCTTTTGATTTCAGCTTTTTAAAAAAATTTCTTTTTATCTTGCTCACATATTAGTTCTACCTCTCCCAGATGTTTCTCTACATTTTTTATGATGTGAGCCACAGACTAGTTTGCTGAAGGCAATACATATTTTTTTACTGACTCGTTACAATCTTGGGGTAAAATCTTTAAGGTCAATTCTGCTGATTGAGTAGTGTCAGATGGCCCTTTAGGGTAGTCATGGAAATTCTACTTCCTTTCTTAAATAAAACCTCACTCTACCTTGGGGACAATGATTCTCTTGCAAACATCTGTGAAGTTATTTCATTTCTCTACTCATATCTACAGGCAACATTTACCCGCCTCTCCCCCAATTTCCTCAATCACTACTCTCTTTTCCTAGATGTTCATATGCATTT